TCCCGCCTGGGAGCGCTATAAAGGCCACATTAAGAAGGAGCCATTAAGCCTCACTCTCAGCCCGCAATAAGCCATTCCACACAACAAGAGACACAAAGGTTAGTTGGCAACCCTCCAAGCCACGGCTTTTAGCGCATCGCGATAGGTTTAAACCTATCAGCTTTTTTATAGTGAGGAACGAAATGCGCTGAGAGTCGACCTTATTCTCCCCCCCACAGCCGGCAACAGGCTAACGCTTAGCTGATCGGTCGCCCGAGGTGGAATGGGCGACTCGAGATATCAAAGTAGCGTAAACTGCCAGTGCGTGCTAAAAGCGACTTGAATGTTTGCCAACTGATGCAATAGTTCGGTGCGGCCTATGCTTTATGGTCACCCATAAAGAGTCATTTTCAATGTTGTTAATTTTAGTTTTTGAAGCTAGATCGTAAGCAGTTTAAAATTATGTCGGGTCTTACATATGTAGACTGATTAACTAGCTTTCTAAGTCGCTGCACAAACTAATTTTTATTACCTCTTATTCGGCAATCCTGTTAGAAACCAGGTTCTTCGAGAAGAAATAATTGAATGATCGGCGAGCATGACTGGCAAAAAGCATTTTTTCGCGCGCCAGGCACTACTAAATCAGCATAACAGTGACGGCGATGGTTAGTCTTGATGGACTACCTACCTCTCAATCATCGCACTGTGAAGGGGCTACAAATCTTCGTTTATTATGACAACAGAAGAAAATTAGATCGACTAATTAAAAGCTGAGGGCTGATGGGAAAATCGGATACTTACCGTAGGGTTTTGCGTTTCTCACTTTTTCCTCCTTCATAATGTCAAATGAGGTGACATTCTCACCGCTCACGGGGTTTGAAGATTTCGTTTGTGGTCGCACTCTGGCTCGACCAGTTCTGTTGTTCTCTATGTTCACGTCATAGGTGTTGCAGTTTTCACCCGTTATTGCATTTCGCTCAGCCTCTAAATGGATAATATACATGTTTTTATTTAATGCATACTCGAAAGGGGCAAATGTGTTCCAAAAGTAAAAGGTAACATTTTCCGAATGCTGTCTTTGAACATACTAATAAAATAACTGTGGAGAAACGTGACCCGTGTTAGGGGACACATAGCGGGCAAATATTTTGTACCAAACAAACCTGCCCTCCGTTTAGGGCCTCCAGACTTGAAATCGACCGAAACTTCGTAGTTTTCGCAGTTCTGTCCCGTTAAGATATTGCGATCTAAAAACAAAAAGACATGAAATGTAATGTTTGCTAGCAGGTATCTTATGTCAATGTTTTTTAAAAGCATAGGATTAGATAGGAAGCCTCGATTAATATTCATTCCTACATCACCCAGATTTGGGATGAATTTCCAATACTTGCCAAACCTATATATCAACCGGGATTCCTGCCAGCAGTGACACAAGATATTTCAGCGTTAACCCTTTATAGTCAAGCCGCAGTGCGGGATAAATATTTCGTGCTTTTGATTCTAGTTTTGCAAAACCTAATCGCCGTAACAACAAGAAGTGCTCAAATAACAACGTATGCAGTACCGTTTGAGACAAAACATGTCTTTCCATGAATTTACACACTGAAAAACAGATCTGTGGGAGAAAGTAAACCGGACTTATTGACTTACTTGATCGCGGTGCCTTCGGAGTCATGCAACCTCGGTTGCGTTCCTCTGTGCTGATTGTGAACGTTTTTGCATTCTCCCCTGTCAGAGGATTACAACGGTCTCCTGAAGGTAAAATATGCATAGAACTCACAACTACATGCTCAGAAACAAATGGTAGCTAGTAGTTTTGATCTGAACCTTCTCCTAGCTATAAACTCACTTAAACACAGCGGATATCAAACAGGTTAAATTGCACTCATGAGGATATTCATTGCAATTGTTGTTTTTTACACAAATAAGGAAGGTGCCTCTGTTTCAAAACTTTAAGGTATCCGACTAAAGATTTGAGTAAAGAAGTTGGACATTAGGCTTATTCTTATAAAGTTTTAGTCGTTTTAAGATATTTCAATGAAAGCCATGATGATACGTAGATAGACCGACTTAAGTTTATGTTTTATGATAAGCCATTTTTATCCTAATCTAGAAAATTATACTATCCGGAAAATCCGCTAAGAATACTCGGTCAACGTTCCCTCAGTTCCAGTTTATATTTTTAACTTGTAAGAAAATGGAAGATTCTATCACCCTCAGAAAACAGGCTAACTGAAAAATTATCTGATAAAGAGTCACTTTTCCATTCATATTTGATTTATTCAAGTGCACGTACTACGCCACCATCTTCAGTCCAACACAAAATGAATTTCAGTATAACGGATTTCATTTTGAAAAGCAAAGCAAATGTAGAATAGGGGAAGGAATTAATCTTTTCGGATGATTGCAAGTCTTCTGCCGGAAAAGAGAACAAATAAGTGCGCAATAGGTCACTCAGAGAAACCAAAATATCAGTATCAGTTACTTCGGGCAAGTTAGTTTATACAGCTTGGAATAATACGAAACTGCGGATCTTCGTCGTATTTTACAATAGGAGACTTGTAGGAATAAATAGCTCAGGGATCCTGTTCAGAAAGGTTAAATGTTTCAGGATTTGTGAATATCCTGTCTTTCCGTGTCTATAGGCTCAAAAAAGTAAAGCTGCTTATTTTTAATGCATATTAGCTGAAACGTTCACCAGAATTTATCACACAATTTAAATATGCGTAATCCTCCGGAAAAAAATATTTTTAAATAGCAGTAACTTGACGAAGGTCGAAAGAGATAAAAGGTGACATCGAACCACAGATTAATGTTTGAGGTACGTCTTGACTTCCTGGAGACAAAGAGGGGAGTTAATACTTATGCTATGGGGTCAGTACAGGCACAATCCTCGTTTTAGCCTGCGGTATGGGCTATCGTCCAGGTAATCGGGACTGAACAGGAGTTGTTGCACTTCAAGTTTGACGAAATTAATATTTTCTTTCTGACATCTTCCTAACGTAGCCTGTGGGCAAGTGTCTCGTGGTTTTAGAGGAAAAGGTAATAAGGTGTTTTCCTAAACAGTGAAAATGAGCTTGCTAGCTGGCAGATGCTTCAGAAAAGAAAAATCCATTTTTTGAATTTCTTAACTTTCGCGTAAAGGCAGACATAGGCTAGGTCAGTAAAACATCCTTTCAAATGTGATATTCCTGAACACAGGAGATGTAGCAAAGATGACAGCGTAATAAATGACATTGAATATATGTGGTTCTATAGCGTGCTTACCAGATACTGGTATATCAAAAGCAAGTAGCAGGCAACAGTAAAAATTGTTTTAGTAATCTCCGGAAGAAGTTTTCTTATACGCTTAAATTTCCTATTCAGCTACGTGCTGCGGCTGCTTGGTTAGCTGTACAACTGAGTAGGGCCAATCATCTTCTCGTGGGGCACCCTGTATTATCAGGGCTGTGAAATGCACATAAAGTAGACGGACCCACCTGTGGAGCTGCGAGCTCTGCGTGCCTTTCCATTGTATTTCCAGATGGGGTCCCATTCCCTTTGGCCGAAATTGCCTTGTCCAGAAATTGGGTCTCTCTGGGCTACAACATTGAGGATATGAATGAAAATTAACCCTGTTTACCGTCACACACAATTTCAGTATCATACCGCTTGTCCTATTTATGATTTAATCTGTAAAATCATGTTATCTACTGCAATGTCCTAACTATAATTTCTTCATCTTACTTTAAGTCCTACTCATAAGTTAATAACATCTTATCTTCAGTTCTTTTTGGTACCGTGCCTGATCTTGAGAATTCTTACCTAGAGTCCACTCCAGGGGCTTTTCCAACTGGGTTTGCAACCCCGAAAGACTTTTTCTGAGGGTAGACTTTCAGACCTAGGCGCATTCGAAACGTCGCAAGACTTTCCTAAGAGGCTGTACAAACGCAGCACTATACTATTTCGAATTTATAAGCCCATACTAAGTTGAACAAATCAAAATTACTTGGAAGCGTTCAGTGGGGGCTGGCTTTGTCTTAAACTAAATTCTTTTCAAAAGTCGTTGCTACATCTTTAGGCACATCTTACCGTATGCTTATTTGTGCAAATAAGTTTAAGTTTTGGATTGACACACAGAGACAAACTATCCTGCCAACTGTAGATCTAACTTTAAACTTGCTGCCGGTCACTCGGCTTCTGCATTTAATTATGCTGACACTGCATAGTGCAAGCAGGGGATAAACTCAGACGCAAATGCCTGCACTCTTTGACTCGAAACCTGTAGCAAGAAGTAAACCCTTTTAAGGAGACAAAATAGCGGTTGCAAAAATTACATGACGAGAACCTATTAACGTAGGATTGGTTCATACAATTCGGTCCCCGGGTGTAACTCGCAGCATGGACTGACAGACATATCTGGGTTTTATAAAGAGGAAATGCTGTGAAGTAAAAAAAATACGCATTGAGCACCCACGTTCGCGAGGCGTAGCAGTTCGCGGTCTTGGTGTACAGCGCAGGGCATCAACTTCGTCGCCTAGATCGCCCGTCAGCGTAATAGGATTTCGGCCTATGAAAGGGAAGATACCATTTATGAACGAGGGCTGAAATGAAGCAGTTATAAACGGAAACATCTTGCGGAAATTAGAAGGAGAAAGGCAGCCTCCTGTTTTCATTAATTGGCGTTGATTAGCACAGCATGCTTTATAAAACTCAATGCGTGATTCGTAAATTTCCTCCTCTCCGTAATTAAATGTGAAGACCTAACAGGAGAGTGAGTAAGGTAAATCTTTTTGTACGTAAGCGGATTTTTTGTGTCGTCGTCGTCGTACTCGTCTTATACATATTAAGAATAGTGGCATATATGCGTACACCGATCAGTTAGAGAACCCACTCGTCCGTCCATGTTGCCATTAGATCTCTCACTCGAGCCTCCGTCGCCTAATGACGCCTAATGAGGCAGAAAAGGCCTTCCTAGTGTCCCATGTCTTTGCTG